AATTACTAGAGACCGAAACATAAATTACTAGAAACATAAATTACTAGAGACTAGAGATACACTTTCACAAGAGGATTAAGCTGTCACTGTAAAAAAATTTTTGTGTAAATTTAAATCTTCCTTTAAAATAGTGGAGCAAAATATCTCTATGGCAGAGCCTATCTACACCTTGAAACTGCATTGATCTATCCTTCACAAGTTGAGCAACTGATGCAGTCAACTTAGCTCGTTTTTTGTACAATGAATCCAAAAGCAAGAAGCAGCATTTGGCTGGCATTTTTTTTATTTCAAGATCATATATAGAGCATGAGAAAGCCATTAAGTTTGTTGGTTGTATTTTTTTTTACTTAAAAAGTTTCCTCACTGTAAAGAAATTTGTGTACTATATTAGGTTTTATCTACACAAGTATGCTTTCCCAAGAAGAGCTTACAAGCAAACTGAAGAATGCTCTTAATGCAACTTCCACTCTGCATGTGTAACCACGCACCATGACCCACAGGTATACTCCACATCACTGATCTTCATGCCACGCTTACCATGCCAAAAGATTCTTATTTTGCTGTGGCCCAAAGTAGTGTGCCCCCTGGGACAGATATCTTAACAAAGCAAACACCACAAAAAATGCCAATGATAATAGGGATTGCATCTTATAAGATTTCTTGCTCCTTACTGTCTTCTGCAACACAAGAGATTCAGAAGAGGTGATTTTTTTTTTTAAACTTTTCAACAAAGACTATTCAGAAAAATGACCTAGCTTAACTGTGGAAACAGAACTGGAAAAGCTTTCATATGGAAAGAGAAAGAATGCATTTACTAAGAAGGAATCATTAACGCCTTTTACAGCAGCTAAGTCTTATTTCAAAATATTATGGTCCACTAAAGTCTCATTCTGCACTAAGGGGCAGCCTTAATGAAAACAAACAATATGGGAAATGTAAACTTTCTAGAAGACTGTTACACATCAGTCCATCCTATAGCAGAACAAGCAGCTCCACTTCCATCACTTTGCTATACTGTTGTAAAACTTCTTGAACGAAGTAAGACCTGTAGTAAGCACTGTTTCCTTCAGCTCTGCAGAGCAAGCAACACCCTGCTACTTTTTACAGCATTCAGGTATCCAAACCACCATTTTCACACTAACATACTACCACAGAAATATTAGCCCACCCCTTTTTTTATGAGAAAACCCTTGTTGACAAAATGCACCGCTGATTAACACGAACTTCATCATTCAAGCCACACTAGTTCCAAAGTAGTTTTTGACATGTATTTATAATGAGTCATTAGAACACAAGAGGCGTGCTTCTTTATCCACATGAAATACTGTTAAGAGAAATAGTAAGTCAGACTGCTGTTGCAAAGCACAAGCATTCATTAAGTAAGAAAAAAAAGAAAGTATTTCTACATGGCTTAACATTCAAAGAAATAAGAGACTATCAGCCAAGTGCAACAGCTCCCCTTTTAGAGGCAGTATCATAGTGGATCAAAACTAACCCTAGCCTGGTGACAAATCCTGTTACACAGATGTGTTAAAATACTGCACTTCCACACACAGCACTATTTTCTTCACATAGTGAACAGTAAGCAACTTTGAAATAAAGCTAGAGTCTTAGAAAGTCTCCATGTCTTCCCTTAATTTATTTACATCAGCATCACAAAGCAGACATAAAAACAGCAGTATTTGTGATTGCACAATGATTTTAGAGAGCATTTGTCTTGAATATTGAAAACTTAGTCTGCCCATGAGTCTTTTTTCAAAGTGAAAAGCAGTCCTGTAGCCACCCACCATGAAATCACTCATTAAGCCAGATGGCAGGAGCAGGCCATTAAAGGGGAGGAAAGATGGGGAACCAGTCACTATGACTGCCTATATGCTCTACCATGCAAGGATAAACTGAAGCAGTCAGTTACCATAAGGCAATTAGCAAACCATAAAACCCCTGCCAAGCTTAAGCTTTTAAGGTGAGACACAATGAAAGATGGAGGAAACTATTTGTTCCTGTTAATCATCATTACCTTCCCATCCTACCTACACACACAAACCAACCTGCCCTGCATTCCAGCAACTGAACACTATTTCTAGCTAAGCTTCCACCTTAAAACTGACGTAAATTTGGTGTACAGGACCTTGCTTGCTCTGCAGCAACTCTAAGAAGAACAAATATTTGGAAACACCACTGCAGACTCAACATCTACCTCTAGTACTTCCAAAAACCCTACTGAAGCCAGAGCAGATAAAGCCAGAATGGTAGCCAGTTCTTCCAGCTATTCTCATAAACATGCAAAGCAAATGCACTGAATATACTTCATCTCCCTTGCCCCCTTTGATGTTCAAATGACTATGCCCCCAATAAAAACTGATTTAACAACAGAAGCACAGAATGACCTAGCTAACACCTATGATAGGCTATTTATTATTTTCAAACTGAACTGTGAGCAATACAGACTTAATGAATTAGAACTCATCCTAGCAAGCATTTATGTTAAAACAGCCATTCACTGCATGAATCCAAAGATAAAAAGATCATTTAGCAGAAAACTGAGATTATGGCTAATAAGTATACTAGTACTTGCTTTAGGTTAATACTGTACACCTACTACAGCTTGCTAAGCCCATGGCTTCAGGAGTAGTTTGAGAACTTACTAAGGATCATGAAGTGGTACGTTATGTTATACTAAAATAATGAAGTATAAAACTTCAGAGGAAGTGATGGAAAACAGTTTGACTATGCTTGTAGCATAGTCTATTATTAATTATGTGACACTTAAGATATTACCTCCCTGAAGACCATCTAAAGTCAAATCAAGCTAACAACACTGATTTACAGAGCCAAGATAACCTAGAGTACTTTTATCAAAAATTTTAACTGTACTTGTAGACAAGAAACACAAACAAAACACTCTCACTTGCAAGGCACACATCACCACCTCTTTTAAACACTCGTGAACAGCAGAAAACATGCAAGGGAATTCATACACGGACTGCTCTCAGCAGCATAGTGCTCATCTTTCCGACTGATTTCATGGGCCTCAAACTTCTTCAGTCTCTATTTTTCACTCATTGCTGTAGCTTGAGGAGGCTAAGCAGAACCCAGAAGTGAATGCAGTGCTCGCCATCTGGGCTTACGCTGTGCTGGATGGGAGCGGCTGCGGTGTTCTACAATCCAAGTCATGTGCAACCACAGTATGACAAGTCCCCTCCCAGGCTATATAAGCTGGCATCTTTCCCAGCAGTTGCCACATCATAAAAACGATGCATACAAACACCCACCCCCACCCACCCCATCCGTCCCCCCCCCCCAAAGAAAAAGAATTAAAAAACAAACAAAAAACCCAACACTTTAAAACAATGGCTTAAGTGACTGCATAACTAAACTCAGCAGCTGGAGACACAAAGCACTCCCATGGCAAACCATGCATCCTCCACTCACAAAACTCCTAAAATACATTCTTATTAGCAAGCTCCACATCACACCTAGCAACCAACCCCAAGTCTGGGCTGCAGAGTCATGTTCCCTGAGGGCAGACAGCAACTAAATAAATGAATAAATAAAAGCATGGATAATAAAGCAAAGATACATCACAAACTGCTCCCATGCTAACAGAGCTTCAAAAAAAAAAAAAGTATTTTTCTGCCACTGACTTCAATGCATCATCTACTTCACTGGATATAGATAATGCTGTCTCACCTATTTAGATTACTCAGAGCTGTTCTCAGGAGTTTCTCTATGAAACTACTCAGATTTGACTTAAAAGTCGTGTTTTTCCATACAAGAAATTTAAATAAACAAGTGGAAAATTCCACAGTGTAATCTGGGCAATTTCTCAGAGATACTTCAGCATTACCTACAATACACTAAAAACTGTGCAGTACCGTGTTTGCTTACACTAGATTTAAAATTTTGACTCTATAATAATTGAAGGGAATTAACAGCTTGTACTCAGGAAGATAACCTCCGCAGTTAAACTGCAATTCTTACACTCCATTGCTTAAGGGAAGGAAAATGTTCAAGAACAAACACAATAATAGATGTAAAAAGTCACAGCGAGGTATCTTTGTTTCTGAGAAACAATTAATTAAAATACAAGTTTTTAGCTCACCAGAAAAAAAGAGCAAGCTTTATCATCTCCAGACTGAAAAACACCATCTTTTGCTCTATGAACATTAAATTTTCCCACACCTGGCTCTACGTAGATGAGATTAATGATGATGTTATTATGAGGAACTGCAGGAGTTCTAGATGCCAATCAAGACTACATATCAAATAAAAAACAACTACTAACCATTGTGTCTGCACAGATAAATAAACCTGCTCACTTCTTTTATTTGTACTGTTACCTCTACTAATCCAACTACAGTAATCAGGGCAGTAAGGGAATAAAGTATGAAAACAATAGGTTTCTTGTACCCCTCGCAGCACCACACCTTTCGAGACGTTTTCATATACTTAGGAAAGGGTGAATCCCTGACAATGAACTAGAGAACTAAGCAGAAAGAAAATGGTTGTGCGAGTCCAAACTCAAAATCGGAGCAGTAACACATTTCCAGGAATCTATTCGGTCAGACATTTAGTACACCGGGAGGAAGCAACACGTGGGCAAAAACCTCCGCCGCAGACCTACCCCGAGACAGAAGCCTGCCCCGTGCCACCCACAAGCGAAAGCACGGGAGGAGCGGGACCCAGACCCACGGCCGGCCCTGGAGCCTGGACCGCCTGAAGCCACGAGTGGGGATCCCCGCGGCACAAAGTGCTGGAGAAGGGCAGAAAGGGTCTCCCTGCGCGCCCAGGCAGCCCCAGGACAGTCAGTAGAAGGGCCACCGGCAACCCACCACCGCACAGACAGCCGCTTTTGTTCTCCAAAAAGAGACCGGTAAAGACCCGCCAGCTGCGTCCGCTCCGAGCCCCACAGGCAGCGCTGGAGCGGCAGAGACCCCGCTGCCTGCGCCAAGCGCTGGAAGCGGGTCCCGGCAGGGAGACCCGCGGCGGGCCCTACCTACCTCTTTTCGGTCTGGGGAAACTCTCGTGCAGGTGGAAGATGACTTTCTCCACGAAGTGCTGAATGTTGCTGTGTTCGGGTCCTCTGACAAACACCATCCAGTCGTGGGTGAAGCCTTCCACAGTAGGTTTCTTCCTGACCTGGGCTCGATGCCCCAGCTCCAGCTTCACCTGAACTGCGCACTGTGGGGGGAAAGGCGGGGAGCTGCCGGTGAGCGCCCGAGGAAGCAGGGCTGAGCGGGTGCCCGACGGAGAACCGGCCCCACCGCAGGCGGAGAGCGGGACACTCGGACAAAACGGTACCATACACCCGGCGCCAGGAGCAAAACTAGAAAGGGACGACCGCAGCCCCGCAACCGAAAACCGGCGCCAGAGGCGAGGACACGAAGAGCTCTCCCTGCCACCGGAGGACTCGGGGAGGCGCGGCCGCGGTGCTGTCCTGCGGCCGCGGGCAGACAGGGACCACCGCCAGGGACGCGCCAAACCCTCTCCCGGCGCCTCCGCGCTCTGTCCCCCCGCTGAGGTGGCAGGAACGTCGCTAAGGGGACACCGCCGCCCCTCCGCGGGTGCGTGCTTGCTTCGCACCGCTGCCGTGAGCGGCGGACAGGCAGCGGGAGGCAAGAAAAGCCGCGCACAAGGAGAAATTCCCCGTCACGCCAGCCCTTTCCCGGCGGCGCCGGGCAGCGCGGGGAGGGGGCCAATGCGGCGATTCCGCGGAACTCACCGAGCCCGCCATGCCTGGGGCGCCGGTTCCGCTGGGGCGCTCGCTGTGTCCCCAGCCCCTGCCCCGCAGCACTAATTCATGAAGACGCGGAGGTGACGGCGGGCGCGCAGAGGAGCGGCGAGCGGGCGGCGGACATCCTCCGCCTCGCTGCACCCGCTGTCTACAGCCGTCCCGCCTCCTCCTCTCCGCCGCACCACACGGAACTCGCGGCAGCCCCGGCCGCGGCCCCACCGGCTGGACGAGCGTCCGCCACGCATGCGCGATGAGCGGCGGGTCGATACCGAAACACAGACATTAACAGTGTGCGGGCCGGCGCGGCCAGCCAATGGGGCGCAGTGACGCGACCGCGAGCCCCTCCGACCGGTCCCGCCCCCCCCGCCGGTCCTTAAAGTAAGTGGATGTGGGGGGCGCGTCGTGGAGCGCGGGAAGGGACCGTGCCGCGAGCCCGGCGGGGGGAGGCCGTGTCCCGGCAGCGCCGTGAGCCGAGTGGGGAGCGGTGGCGTCTGATCGCGCCTTACTGAAACGGGAAGGGAAACTGAGCACGAACAGTTACAAACAAAAGAGAAACGGGGCACCGGTCTTAAACTCGGCCAGTGGAGAGAGCGGAGAGCCAAAGGTACTTTAAAGGACCTTCCTCCCCAAACCCCAGCCTCTGCCTCGTGTAGAGTCATAAAGGTACGTTTCCGAAGAGTCCCCAGTAAATCCTTTTGCCAAAATGAAGGGCGGACAACACACTCCTACGTGCACAGGAATGTCAAGTGGTGATGGGCAGCAGTCCGGAACCCGCGCTCGGGGTTATCTAACATGTATTTGTAGCATCGACTGCCACTTCTACCCTTACCGGGCTGACGCTGTTCTAAAACAACAGTACTACGTCAATTTCCACATCCCTCCCGTACTACACGAGGTAACATGCTGATTCACGCCACAGGAGGATGTCAGTGAGAAGCTGGCAGTGATTTACTGGGAATTCCTAGATCAGGGTACTGACCCTGTGAGATGAGTACTTTCTGACAGCCATAAAATTGCCCAAACTTATACCTTTTGCCCCACTGAAAAATATTTTAGTCTGTTCGATAATTATATTTCCTATACTTTTTCTGGTAATAATAATAATAATAATAATACAAATAATTCGACAACCAGCAGCGATCCTTACCCAGAGAAGTGCACGTACACGCAAAACGCGGAATACCCTCCCTGGGCGCCCCAGGTTTCACCAAGAGATGGCGCAGTCCTTGCGATAATGTCCTCATTTGACCTCTCCAGAAGTCTGACCACTGTGGAAGACCCGACCACGATTCCTACCTTCACTTCCGAATGAGAAAAACGCACATGAAAGAAATTCTAGCGTAATTTAATAATTACACTAGAATGTATCATAATTTTCCTACAGCTTTTGTAAGCCTTAATGAATAAAATCAGTACTCACAACTCAAAAGGATGACGACAATTGCACAAATTCCATAAGTTACAATGTGACTTGAAATTTATTAACATTAAGCCCTCATGTATATGAATATCCATCTTTTAAAACTGCTACGTGCAGATCTAATAGTTCACACATTACTAATCTTGAACTGATCTAGTCAGCAGGTCAGCATGCCTAAGAACAACTGGTGAGCCCATCATCAAAGCTGATTTCTGGTAACTTTAAAAATTTGTATATGCAAGATGAATAAATAAAAGATACTGATGCTATTTGTTAGAGTCAGGAATATGCAGACAAGCAAGGACAGCAGGGCTGGACTACTACTACACTAAATGCAGTGGGCTTCCAGGTGTCAGGGCCCATCTGAAAAAAGGACCTGCAGGCTGAGGATCCCTGGCATCTCTCTAGAATGGTTCATTTTTGCTATAGCTGAGTTGCTTTTCTTGAGTGTTCAGCCACTTAATGGTCTTGCAAGGACTGAGAATGGATCATGAAGAGCATGTAGCTGTTCAGATCCCTTTGGTTTCATTGGAAATCTTAAGCATTTTTGAGCCAGTTTTGCAGGGTTTTGCTGTTTCAGAGACACTAATATTTTGGTTCCTAATTACAACGTATTGTTCCACGTTAGTGTAGTGTTGAGCATGGAACATGGAACATGTTCCAAATAATAATAATACATACACTAAAACTATTTTGCTTTTCACTACTGCAACATATTTAATATCAAACTGTATGTGACCTTTCATTCTCAAGTAATGCAACTCCTGGAAGTACTGTTTAATTCTTACTCCAACAAATAAATTTGAAGCACTGACAGTTCTACAACAGTAACTTGGCTTTATTATTATTTAAATAATTGCCAAAACACCCCTCTTCCACCCCATCATCTACATTCCAACATGCTACACTGCTAATCTGAGCATAAAATTCACAGTGAAAAAATTGAAGATGTGCTGCTCTGCTATCAAAACACTGCCACCACTTCATTCTTGGCATAGCAGATACATGTTTTATGACAATTACAATGCAAGGATGCTGGGAAGGGACTCTTCACTAGGGACTGTAGTGATAGGACAAGGGGCAACAGGTTAAAACTTAAACAGGGGAAGTTTAGATTGGCTATAAGGAGGAAGTTCTTTCCTGTTAAAGTGGTGAGGCACTGGAATGGGTTGCCCAGGGAAGTTGTGACTGCTCCATTGCTGGCAGTGTTCAAGGCCAGGCTGGACAGAACCTTGGGTGACATGGTTTAGTGTGAGGTGTCCCTGCCCATGGCAGTGGGGGTGGAACTAGATGATCTTAAGGTCCTTTCCAACCCTAACTGTTCTATGATTCTATGGTTGCCTTTTAAAAATTAAACAAACATACTTAAATTAATATAAGGCAAACCTGAAGTTAGTCCTTAAAGATTATGATTTTTAAACATACCGAGCTAAAATTATATATCTCTGTGGGTATTTGAGCTCATACATGTATAGTTTCATGGATGTTTTGAATACATTGAACATCTTAATGAAAGCAATTACGCCAAAAGCATAAATATGCTATGTGATACTGACTCATTACTGAAATGGGTCTATGGAATTATTTTCATACTCAGTGACTACAGTATCAGCCATAAGAGTCTTTTTTAGCTCTCTGTATCCACAGTTTTAAGACTGGGGGACTACAGAATGCTGTCCTGAAATATTCAGGTACAGGCATTATTTTATTAAGGAAATGTATATTAGAATCACTGGGGTTCAAAATGCTGTTATATATGAACTCAATACATCTTGCTAGCTAGAAAGTAAATTCTTTTATATTATCTCTCTACATTTCTGGACAACTGTTCAAAAATCTTGACTGCCTGTGTTTTCCTTCCTTATTTTCATAATAGCTTGACATTGTGAAGAATATATACACTTCCTATTCTGGGGCAGGAGTTAGGGACACCATCTTTCTGTGTAAAACATACATTATGTTTTGTTACGGTGGTACAGCACCTTGTTTTTTCAACTCAATTTGAATGGAAAAAATAGCATGGACAATTTCTGAGTCACCCCACAGGCCTGTTTGTCTGATTTAGAAACAAGGCAGACAATCAAAGCAGTCAAACACAAAAATTAAAGCATCACTCTAAATTGGAATATTCTAATTGTCCACTTCCTTCCAAGTTTTCATCTTCTGCAAAGATTTGAATTAGTCTTCCCTCATTTGTTGTGGAAATCATTATTACTTAATACAATCACAACGTTATAGCCTTTCTGCCAGTTTAAGTTTATTTCTCCTTTTGTATAACACCACAAATGATCCATAGCTATAGCTACAGAGAAGTCACAGTGGGCCAGATCCTGAATGTACGTTCACTTGGGAGGGTCCATGGTAGGGATAGAAGCATGTGCTCCATCTTAAAGGTCTGCAAAGATGATTACTATCTTGCAAATTAAGAGGCATGACAACATATTTTTATACAAGATATAAGTGTAAACAGATTTTTTTATTTGCCCTTCTTTTCTCAGAAGGCTGTGAAGATAGAATTTTGGTTTCTTTCTTTCCTACTGATATACTGATTTCTCAGAAAGGAAGGGTTCTTTTAGGCCTGGCAGCATCAAATGTACGTACTGCAAAAGAGAACAACCCAGATGAGTGAAAGAAGAACTGTCTTTGCCTCCACAAAGTCTATGTCTCTGTGTTCCTACTTGCTTTTATGCTGAACTTAGGAAACCAAAGTCCATTCTGAATCTCTGGGGATTTTTTACCAACAGCTACAAAACTATAATCACTTTAATGGTTGTCCTGTTACTTGCTGGTATCTTTTGCATTTTTGTTTACCAGAATTGGAGTGTAGAAGAGCAGAACATCTTTTATATTCAGGCCACTTCTATATCGTTCTGGCAACACCGCAGGCAAACAGAGTAGCTCTTTGGCTTTTAACAGTAGCTCTAATAGAGCTGGTCATATCTGAACCCATTTATAAAGTGAGAAGGTGACCAAGAAGTAAACAGTCTCTGCTATGTTATATAATCAGGATTGCTGGATTTTTAATTTTATCCTGGTTTAATTTTATCCATAGGAGAAACAGGAAAGAAAAGAGATCTTCTGTGGAATGGAGATGTTTTTAATTCAATAGTTCTAGCTTGTATCATGCTTGAGAGTAAGATGAAATAGAATTATCAGTAACTGGAAAATTCATTTCTTCTTAACAGATACCAGTGAGACAATTCTGTTTTCCAGAGTCCCTTAAGGGTGACTTTTCTGGCACAGGCTCACACTCCATATTTACCTCCCTAACTCAAGATTCTAGAGGACAGAATGGAGCTGGGTAGTCCTCTGGAATCCTTCTATATTGATTTTTATTTCTTCTGTATTCAGACAGACATGTTTTCCTCTCAACTTAAAACTGGACTGAAGCAATGCAAACCATTTTCCTATAATAACAGTGTAAGAGTGGAAACGCTTCTATTACCCATCTTATTCTTTCTAATAGAACCGATACCACTCAATTGAGTAATGATTACTTTAAAACATCTGCAGTTTCTGGCTCAAATTCAGAAAAGAAAATGGAGTCATTTAATATATGTCAGTTGTGAAGCAATGTTGATTTTTAAACAAAACCAAAATAAAAATAGCATTCATATTCAAGCTGAAGAGGTTGTGATGCAATTACATCTGTTTAAAAATCTATCCATTTCAAAAGCTCCAAATGTCTTCAGCTGACAGGAGCAGAATCAAAGAATGTTCTTGAGCTGGTTAAGTGACAAACTGGTGCAACCATTTTCTTCATTTTGGATTAACAGTTAAAATAAACATTCT